TGGCCTCTCTCTCGTCGGCGGCTGGCGGGGAACACTTGGTCAGTCGCTCAGAACCATCATGGTTCCTGAAGTAGAGTACGTACCAAGCTGCTGGTCCGTGTTCGAGTGGGGAGGTTGCATGGGATCCTCGTAATCGGCCTGGTCGGGCTGAACGGGGACCTGGTTGCGGAGCTCAGAGCGTGTCTCACCGACGTAGGAGTTGTCGATAACGTCGGCTGAGACGGGCGAGGTATCGTTCTCCGCCTCGTACCTGTCCTCAGCTTCTCTTTCGGCACGGTTGGACATCTTGACTATAGTTTCTCGTAGAATGGTAGTGGTTGAGAAGTTGCAGGAGAACGAAATTGCAGGTGTGGTGGCAGTGGATAAGTTGCTAGTGATGCACCGATGACAATGCTCGGGATACCGTGGGTATATATGTGTTTTTAGGGTTCCGCAAGTCCCAGCATCGCCATCCTGACATCAAGGTGTTGTCAACGTGTTGTCATCGTGGACGTTGAGTTTCCGATTGAGTTCTGAGGTGTCAGTTCCCACCGAGGCCTACAACCAACTACCTCAATGTTTCATATTCGAAGCTTGGTCTAGTGGGGATCTACAGACAAACTGCGGGCACATCGACCACCTGCACCACTTAAGCTACCAGATCGGTTCATATCGACACTGGTTTCCGACATTTGTCGTAGCTATACACAGAATCAAACAACAACAATGCGCAACCATATCTTACGATTCATATTCATCTGAGATCATCATCAATCTGATCGATCAATCGATCAATGATCGATCAATCCCAATCCCCATACCCTGCTTATAACGGACACAACCAGACAAGCAACACCCATCTCCCAGCTCGAGGTGGCGATATGACGCATCACTAACATCAACCCGGACTCATCCGCCGGTCAGAACAAACCAACACATAATAATCTTCAATAGCCACTTCTCCGGGAGGAGGGGTATCCACCAGAAACGAAACCTGTTTAGTGCTTAACCTGCCAGGTCTAAGATAGTGTTTCGATGCCGCAGTTGATACATCAACATCAACAGACCATCTCGATCTCCACCACACCAACCAATCAGAGACAACATCGACAATGTCATACTCAAGGGAGAACAACGAAGTGTCTGCTTCTGGGGAGGACAGGGTGAATGCTATGCGCGGCTACAAGGCGTGAGTAGACTCGCCCTTCCTCACCAATGGATATAATACGGATATGGATAATCTAATGCTGGTCAAGTACACTCAAAAACCCCCGGGTCTCAGACGAAGCAAAGCAGCACGCCAAAGACGTGCTAGATAATGAACTCCATGGGGACCAGCCGCGGCATGATCTGTATGCTGTCCGGGGGCAGAATAAAGAGCCGAACCGAGTGGCTGGTGGGCTGAAGGCGTGAGTTTACTTGCACTTGCACTATGCTTTGACGTCGAGGTGGCTGATGTGTGTTTAGTGCGCAGAGGAATCCGCGGGTGAAGGAGAGAGGAAAGGAGAGCGCGAGCGAGAAATTGGATGCGTTGGGACGGGCGAGGGATGAGCAGGCGCAACAGGATCAATCGCAGGAGCAGCCGGAGGAGTAGATTGTATTTTGTTCTCTATTGTGATGTATAGACCAAATAGAGTTGCGTTGGCTCACTCAATTTTGCAGGTTAAGCTGGAGGGAGTAGGTAACAAGCATGCATTCTAATTCTATTGTCTGTCTATTCAGACGACGGATTGGGATTAATCACATCATCAGGCCATTTACGGAACATATCCGCTAGATGGTCAATTGGTGCAGCCAGCAGCCCGACCACCGTCTCGAAAGGAGGTTTGTTCGGGGTGTTGGGATGCGACCGGGTGGGAACGAACATCTTCGTTCGGCCGAACGACTTGGACAGGCTCTCGCTCTCCTTGGGGGTGATTGCGTCCTCCAGCTTGACAAAGTCAATGGTTTCCTCTTCCTCGATGTGCTTCTCGAGGTCTGCCATCATCGACTTGAGGATCGGCATGAAGGATGCATCGGAGGGATGCATGTCCTGGAACTTTTGAAGCTTTTCTTTGATCTGCAGAGCAGTCAGTAACATGATCAAAGATCGACAAGTCAGATCATGCCGTACCGTCTGATGTTCCTCACGGTCCTTATCGGCCGTCTCAGCGCCGCCTGGGAGATATTTCTCGAGTGCAGGATAGACGACCAGCTCTTCGCCTATCGCATGGCGGGCGAGTTCCCAGGTGAACTTGTTCTGGAAGCGGATTTGCTCATCAGTATCTCTGGAGCTCACGATGATCTTGTAGTATTCTTCGAGCTCTCGGTGGTCCTTTTTGATTGCATCCATAAGGCGGGCCATGTTGATTGTTAAGAATTAACGATTGCTTCTAGTATAGCGACGCCGTCATGCATGTTGACAATTCTATTCAGGAATATATTGCATTAAAAGACTGTCGACGAAAATGCCTCTGTCGCGACCATGGGTTATAGAACAATGTAAACATCACGACACCAACACCTGAGCATCAAAGCGTAGTAAATCCATCGTCTGGTAGTCATATCCTCTTGACCCCGGTTCCCACCGCAAGACAGTGTTTGCTTGGCCCCTGGTCGAAATCACGATCATGGAATGTCGGTCATTGGGCAGGAAGCTGTGACGATACTAAAAGGTACTTATGACAGAGAGTCAGGGCCTTCGCGTACGATTGGAGGCATTGGAGAAGGGAAGAGTGGCGCTTTTGGGCCTTTGTCATACTTACACCGACAGGGAAAATCAGCGAACTGGACCCTGAGGCGTGATGCTTAGTTGTAATCCAGAACGATAACAAAAGGCGACAATCCTCGGACTGCCAGAGTCACAGAGCTCGGTGTGTATCTACTACTTACATTGGTTTAGAGACAGAGGGCTGACAGATCTGGGCACTTGTACACGGACCCGGACACCCCACCATCCCATCCATGGAAGGATTGACGACAATCCTGATGCGGACCGGTTATGGGGAACAACCTTGGCCAACCGGGGCTTTATCCGACATACCCCCAGAGTCTAGAATGGATTGATGACGGCTTGATGGGAGTCTTTCTCCGCTCACTCCTTTCAGTCTAGACTACCTAAGGCTAATAATACCTCACAAAATCAATCAAGTTACATCTTGGTCTTTGTTGCGCCCTGGAACGGAGCCATGACGATGTCTGCCTGACGTAATCCGGATGTATAACCCGCCTGTCATTCGGCGTTGAGTGCGATTTGTTGGCGGGCAAGAACCGGTGCCTGACAGAACACACACGCGCTCTAACTATTGCTGTGGGTAGTAATGCATCCAATATTCGTGTTGCTTTCCTATTGTTTGTGCGTTGGCATTCCGGACGGGGTGGGGGTCCGGTCCAAATTGTCCGTCCAGCCTTATTGGTATGGAGGTCTATGGAGTATGGACACCTACCAGGCAGGCACCGACTATATTTGGCTCTATTTCCCCGCGCCCTCTTGGGCTGGAAATTATTTCCAGATGATACTTCCTGTTCTTGACACTGGTGTTTTGATCGACACTGAGTTTCAAAGTCGTTCAAGTTGTGGTCTTGTGCTTTGTCCCTTGAGTAGAGCCCTCGCGTGACGGATCACATTCACTTCTCACCCTTTGTCACATTGGCGCATTTGCAGCTGCTGCCTGTGGATTGATTAGAAAAAGAGCCGATCTAAATATCTGAGCGCCGCTTATCATTCGCCATGGCGACTACATATGCATATGAAAGGTGAGTCGAGAATCCTCGAGCCCCATCCTCCTATTTCCCAGGATCTCAACTAACTGTTACATTCTGTCTCCCAGATTTCCTTTTCACGAACCCGGATCAGGACCAGACTCCCATTTCACAACGCCTGAGAGCTCTCTGGTCGGAAACTCTACAGCGTACAAATCACACCACAACGACAGTCTACGAAGGTCCAGCATGGGGAAATGCCTCTTACAATGGTTCTGGTCGACACTGATGATCGACGGCTCAAGCACACAGGATAGCCAGGCTAAGCCCTCGAATCTTCGACATGGCGAGCATCATGCCCAGGCTCGAGAGGGTAGCACATTCACTACACGAGGAACCTCTACGGCTGAGCACTCTCATGATGACACGGACGAGGAGAATCCCGCATGTAAAGCCTGTCGAACATGGGGAGTAGTTTGTGACAGGCAGCAGCCGCGATGCTCGCACTGTCTTGATCAACAGATTCTATGCTTCTATGTGGCACCGTTACGAAAGACGATGAAGAAATCGAGCCGATCTCGAGTATCACAACAAGGAACAGGAACAGCAACACCAATGCATTTGCAGCAGCAAAGTTGCTGCTGAATGGATGATACAACCAGGTCAACGAGTGAATTGACGATTTAGAGAATTACTCTCGTTTTATGCGTTGTGTGCCACGACGATCATTTTGAGGGCCCCAGTTTAGATAACGTTATCGCAAGGGTGTATCTCCTCCGCACAAGCGGGGGAATATACCTGGATCCTGGTACATGCATGCAGCGGCGATTGGACTTATCTCCAGATTTCCACGATTCTTTTCAAAAAGGGCGCAATCCATGTTCCTGAGCAAAATGGTGATCGGCATGATGACAGTTTCCGTTTACATGCGAGCCCGTTCTCATCTCCACTTCCACGGAGCAGCATGCCCCGAGACGATTTGCCACGGGCCCACGACACCCCTCAGACCATCAACTACATGAAGAAGTCTTTTGTCGCAGTCCGCCTCACATCTTGCATCAACTCGGATTGCTACCGAAGAGGAAAGGTCACTACATGTTGCTGTCGGAGCACTGTGAGCCGTCTCCGCTCTACAGGCTCAGATGCGGGGTGTCGAAAAAATGTACCTACATGGAAATGATATGAACTTCACTCTCAAACTCTGCAAGTGATTTGTAGCATGCTGTGAGTTATTCTGTGTAGCCTCGAGACGCACTCCAGGGTTACGCTGCGATCCTACCGCAGATACAAGGTAGGCTCTGCCATTTCCTCTAACTCTGCAGAAAACTAACCGGGCATAGATGGAAGCCGAATACACTCGCCTTGCAGAGACAATATGCCAGAAAGCCAATGCCCACAGCAAGAAGCGCTTCCTAGTGGCCATCGCCGGCATCCCGGGATCCGGCAAGACAACCACCGCAGCCGCGGTCGCCAGGCTTCTAAACACACCACCGTCGCCAAAACGCACTACTCTGCTCTCCATGGACGGGTTCCATCTGTCGCGGGCGACGCTGGACCTCTTACCCAATCGAGAAGAAGCATATATCCGCCGCGGGGCACCTTGGACCTTTGACGCGGCCCGCTTCGTCCAGTTCATCCGTCGGCTACGGGATTGGGCTGATTCGGCGCCCTGTGCCTCTGCGGAGACGATCTACGCACCCTCTTTTGATCACGAGGCTAAAGACCCCGTCGAAAATGGCATTGCTATCACCGATGACGCGGAGATCGTCATCATCGAGGGGAATTATTTGCTGCTCGACGAGCCTGAATGGCGGGAAGTGGCTGCCCTGGTCGACTACCGGGTGTTCGTCGAGAGTGACCTACAGGAAGCGCGAGAACGCGTCGCGCGACGGCATGTCCTTGCGGGTATTGAAAAGACGTTGGAGGATGGATTTCGGAGGGTGGACCGCAACGATTACTTGAATGCGGTTACCATTCGGGAGAAACTCATCGCTCCTGATTTGGTTGTTCACAGCGTGACGGAGCCAACTTGTTAATACTCATACAACGTTGATTTGATATAATACAAAAAACCCATATTGGATATAATACATCTGAACCTCAAGATACATTACATCGTGGTCTACTCCTTGATCTTCTGCTTATGAAACACATCTATAGCCATCAGCTATTGTCCTATCCGCAAAAGAACAGGACAACTTACTCGGAATCTCAGGCATCCAGCTGGCCCTCGAACTACAGAAAAACTCCCCCTTGGGCGGCAACGCCTCCGGATCATCTAGAGTCCCAACGCAGATATACCGCGCCTGGTCCTTGACCGCATCCTATGCTTCTTAGCCTTATCCACCGGCTTCAATACTGTCAACTCACCCCATATTCAAGAATGAAACTCCCACAATTATCGCAGAATTCCCGGTGCAGTAACGACCCGGACCCGTTATCGCCCACATGTTCCTTGGGTTTCCCAGCCGTCAGTCTAAATGCATCTTTGGGGATCTTGGCCGTTAGGCCGTAGTTTGTTCCGAACGCTTTCTGGAATTCCGTTAGCTTGCGGAGTACAGGGATGGTAGAGGCGAGACTGACTTTACAGTTCGAACAATGGCAGAGGGAGGTTCGTGCATCGTCCGGGGAGTCAAGCGATATTTCATATTTGATGTTGCGGCAGTAGCAGGATCCGGTGTATTGGGGCATGGTGCGTGATGTTGTAGTTGAGATGGCTCGGTGGGTTGTGCGAGTATACTTGGGGTTGGGAATCTGGGAGAGATGGCGAGTTATAAGGGAGAGGCGGTTCATGTGGTTGTTCTAGTTTTGAAGTCAATTGCTGATATTCGAAAGAAGATGATGCTATACAAAGTGGCTTGGGAGCTTCATATATATACTGGGTATGCTGACGTCACTGTAGTTGCGAGGGAGATAACTCAACAGTTTTCAGTGAATTATACACGTAAATAGAGCCATTTTATCTCTTTCTGGCTACTGGCCAATTGGCCATGTGTGGACGGTGATGTGATCATGACAAAACGCCTACACGCAAATGGCTGCCAACTACTCCACCCCCAGGCTCCTCTTGACATCAGCGTGTGACATTCCACATGGCGTTTCTAGAAAAGCACTGGTACTTTTCCAAGCTTTCAACACTTATCCCGGAGAGTAAACAAATCTACCTGTCGAGATCTTCGACGAGATTTGCGGGGTCGTCGAGATCAACCCCGCACGCTATCAAAATGGCAGACCTGAAGCAGAAAAGAGATGTCGTCTCGTCGCTCATCTTCAAGTTCCCAGATGAGGAGTCCTCCAAACCCAAAGTAGCTCTGTTTCGCCGCAGCGATAAAGTAAGAACGTATCCGTAAGCCCTACCCCTACCCTCTAGTTCATATACCTATTGACTGATTAACAGCCACCACCTCGCCCCCATCTCCGGTAACATCGACTCAACCGACAAAGACCCCCTCACAGCCGCCTGGCGCGAGCTCCACGAAGAGACCACTCTCACACCCACAAACCTAACCCTCTGGCGCGTCGGCAAACCATTCACTTTCAGCGACCCCACCCTCAACCGCGAATGGACCGTCCACCCCTTCGCCTTCAAACTCAAACCCGCAAGCCAGGGCGGCCAAGGCGAGGCAGCCATCCAGACAGAATGGGAGCACGAAAGCTGGGAATGGCACGATCCGGCCTCCATCGTCGACGACGAGGCCTTCGGCGGCGTGCCGCGTCTCCACGAGACGCTCCGCCGAGTCTTCCCCGAGTGCGAGATGGATGAGCGCGCGGGGGAGACCCTAGCGAGGGGACTGGAAAGGTTGCAGCAGGACCATAAGAGCGGGGCGCACGAGCTGACGGGTATCGCGCTGGCGATCTTCCGGGAGATCATCGCGCAGACGCACGAGATAGACGAGGGGTGGTGGAGGACGGTGCGCATGGCCGCGTGGCATCTAATCAAGAACGGCCGGGAGAGCATGGGCGCCGCGACGCTCAACGCGCTGCTCTCAATCCTCGCAACCCTAGACAAGATCGTGAATCAGCCGACAGGCGCAGAGCAGGATCAGAAACCAGACTGGATACTCTCCACCATCGACTCGCATCTCGCCAATCGGACAGCTAACACCACCCGCCTCAAAGACGCATTCACATCCTACATCCAAACCACGTTTCTGACGACAGAACCAAAACGAGGCAGAATCACCATGCTCACCTTATCCGCCAGCTCCACGACGCGAAACATCATCCTCGACGCCTTCGCCGCGCTAGACATCCCCACGCTCGAACTACGGATCCTCGAATCCAGACCGCTCTTCGAAGGCGCTACACTCGCCTCCTCCATCTACTCCCGCTTCCAGTCTCAGTTCGGCTCGACGGACAAGAAACTCGATATCAAGATTTACACGGATGCAGCGGCTGCGTTGGCCGCACAGGACATCGATATCGTCCTCCTCGGTGCGGACCGCATCTGTTCGTCCAAGGGCGTAAGTAACAAAACAGGGTCATTGCCTGTCGTGCTCAGCACGAAGCATGTCACGCCAAGCGCGAAGATCCTTGTTCTCAGTCAGCTGGAAAAGGTGGTTGGGGACGACGGGATACTGGAAGATAAAGTTGAAGATAACGACCCCGACGAGGTATTTAGTGCGTGGCGCAATGAGCGGGTCGAGGGTACACAGGTGCTCGAAGATAGTTTCAGTGGTTCCGAGACAAACAGGGACGAGCCGGCAACTATCCAAGTCAAAAATACCTATTTTGAATGGGTTCCGTTGACGTTGGTGGACGCCTTTGTGAGTGATGAAGGGGTTCTCGACGAGGCAACAATCAAAAACAAGTCACAGCAGCTAGGAAAGCTGGCATGCAAATACTTTGATGACTTATGATTCGACCATATTACCAAATCCACGTCGCCTATTGTCCATCAATCCAATAGATTCTTCACTATGTACATCAAATCCAGCACCAAAGCCACAAAGGACAGCGTCACAGAATGGTAGTATGTTCAAACAGTTCATGGCAAAGCAACTCCAAACACCGGCTGATCAAAGGCCTGCCTGGATCATAAAGGCTGCCTGGACGTAGAGCAAAAGCAAAAGAGGTATCATTAAATATCACGAACACGAGTCTGTCGCTTCGCCGTGCCAATGTGTGTGTTGTGCACCTTTGTAGCAAACTTGAGACTAGTCAATGTCTCTGCAAGGTGAGCTTGCAATGGGCTACACATCACAAACATGAGAGTCTTGGAGTTTCCACCCAGTGAAAATTGAAGCAAGTAAGTGAGCTATGAAACAGAGTCAGTAAGCTTGGACGTTGACAAGAGGCAAGAAGAAACAAACCTTGCTGTTGCGGTAGGGAATGTGTCCACCTTCCTTTCCTTGTCCGAGAGCTGCAATGACATCTCCGAGGCAGCTCAGACTGCGATTGATGTTCTGTGTCTCCTTCAGTCTCTCCCCGGTTGCCTGGCTGTGACTGAGCCGTTCACTACCGGCGAGATCCACTAAGTTCAGGGTTCCCTCGCTGCGTTCGCCGGTAATGCGGTTTTCACCGAGGAGCTTGAGAATGAAGACCGAGTGTGACCGAGAAGATCTTTCGTTGGCCTTGGTAGCCGCCACTGACCGATTGGCCGCAGCTCGTTTTAAAATAGATTCGACCATCTCGGGCGACTCCAGCCGAACAGTGGTGATGTCGGTGATCATCGTCTTACATCTCTGCATATCGTGGCGGATCTCGTGTTTCTTCTTGTCCAGCTCTTCCGCCTTGCCCAGAAGGTCGTTCAAGTTTTCGTTGTACACCTCCACGAAGTTGCCTTCCATGGTGTACCTCCAGCCCTTTTCTTCCAGGCTCTGAGCGGTCTGGTAGATCTGATGTACTGCCCTGGGAATCATGCCATCAAGGGAAGACATGGTGTATGTCTTCCCACTGCCTGTCTGGCCATAGCAGAAGATGCAGACATTGTACCCATCGAGGGCGCTCTGTACGAGTTGGCTGATTTCCTCGAACACCTCAGCATTCTGAGTCGAAGGCCCGAAAACGCGGTCAAAGGAGAAATTGTTGTTCTTCCGGGTAACGGTGCCGAGAGCACTTCTTTCTTCTGGACCCAGAAGACAAATCTCTTTGCACTCTTCCGACTGGTCCGGGTACTCAATTTGAGCGGTTTCCGCAACTTCGGACTCAAGAGACGGGCGCACTCGACAAAACACCCGAATGTTGCCTTTGAGCTCCTGCACCTGATTGTGCAACTTCCTTCTCAAAGTTTCCTCCTTCCTCAGTTTCTCCTTTGTCGCCTCAGTTTCAGCCAGAGCATCATTCATTTGCTGGTTGAGACGCTCAAAGGCCTGAGACTGCTCTTCCCGTCCAGATTCCAGGAATTCTATTCTTGCCTTCAATGCGCGAACCGAGGACTCGAGTGTAACACTGTTGCAGCTTGCCGTGTCTAGGTTCTGCCGCAAATCGTGATTTCCTTTTCGCTCACGCTCCAGGTCTTCTCGAACAGCCTGTAGATTTTGCTGGAGCTTGGCAATTTCCCTATCCTTTCGCTCTAGCTCGAGAAGAGAACGTTGCGTGTCGAGCTCAGTCTGCGAGGTGATTTGGTTGATCTCTTGGAATCGGAGGGCCTTTTCGTCGTTTATCTGCTGCTCGAATTGGCGCCTCAGTTCGCGGAGTTCGTCTTGGTGCTGGTTGTCTAGTGCCTGCAGCTGTTGCCTGCTCTCTTGTCTGACAGTTTCGATTTCGGCGCGTTGCTGGCGTTCTACATCGTCCATGGCAATCTCATGATCCCTTCTAGCGTCCTTCAGGGCTCGCTCGGCAGCATCTAGTCGGCCCTTTGTGGTCTCGAGTTCCACCCGTAATGAGAGGGTTGTGTCGGTCAGTTCCTTTCGTGTTGTTTCCAACTCGCTCACTGTAACAACTGTGAGCACACTTGCAGCTCGAGTGGGTACCCGTACTCACCTCTGCTTTTGTACAATTCAACGGTCTCTTTCAGACCGAAACTCTCTTGTCCGGCCTGGCTGACTCGTGAGACAAAGGCATTGAAAAACTCCTCCATTGTCTTTTCACGCGTAGCCTGATCCCATTCGGCGCCTGTAGAATAGTTAAACGTCTTGATCGAAGAATCTCTGTGCAGAAATGGTATGATAGGTGGTTTCTTTTTCCTGGGAGAATGTTTGGGGGGAGATGCAGGCTTCTCTAACGCCTGTCTCACGGGGGAAGATACGGGGATCTTTGAGGGAGGAGGTTTAATGGGTCCATCCTGCGCGGGGTGCAGGGATTTTGGGTCCAGCATGTCATGGGAGACGGGGTCCTTTGCCGACTCATCCAAAGCAGGACATGGAGATGCCTCGAGTTGGTCAATTCGCAAAGGGGGCTCTTGAATACCAAGGAGCTTCCGTTGCGAGTCAGACCAATCGCACGACATCTTCCTGTCTTTACTATGCGGCGTAATAGATGCAGGGTGGGAATAAATATCAAATAGGGAGAATAGGGACTGCCGCCTACCCTTTCTCTTTCCCAAAATGCTTGCAGTGAAATCCTCTTCTTCATGGGTATCCAATGACGTTGCGGGCCGAGTGATGGAGTGACCGTTCGGTTTTCGGGGACCAGCAAGCGATGTGTGCGGTCGTGGCGCATGCGAAGGAGGTCGTGATCCGGGTCCAACAGTGGAGGAGAAATTGGTTCTGGTAGTCCGTGAAGCAGTCGAGGCCGATCGGGTCAGAGTTGATGATGCATAGGAATTAGTTCTAGTATGAACTCGTCCCATACTCGTGCCTGGACGTGACGGAGGAATGCTTCCTGTTCCAGATCGGCTGGGCTCGGGGGCCTGTGTAGCGCTTCTAGCGCGGGTGGTATCTGTTACCGTAAGAATGTGAAGTCGCTCTGTCAGATGCTATTGTGGTTCACATACGCGATAGACCCGACGTTTTACTCGCAATTGTGCCAGGTTGGGGCAGACCAGAGCGAGAATTGGTCATCCCCGATGTCATGCCGGCCATGGGGATGCGCGATTTAGTGGTCGGCTTTGGTTGCGCCTGCTATTCAAAAGGTATAAGACTTTTTGATACAATCGACTGCATTGGCGGAACTTACCATATGCTCGTTCTCCATTGTCAATTGCGTATGGAATTTCCACTGTAGACTGTTGGAAAGACCGGTCTATGACATCCGGATGGAAAGAGTGTGCAGAAGAAATGAGTGTCTCAGAGCTGCAGAGAAGACAGAGAGTCAACAGTGTATCAACTGGCTCTGCAACATGTCAGGAGGTGGAGCAGCGAAGGGAGGAGGATAAATGGACTGCGAGTCGGAACTAAGGTAGTAGTCTTCTGTTTAGGTGAGCTGAACAGTTTGCGATGATCGAATGTGTTTTGGTTTCTGGAGTGACGGAAAGCGGTAAACAAACTCGGCTGACTCAGCAATTGTCCAGCGGGGGGTGCACTAGTCCTCTTTGAGACAAGGCGCATCAGGTCCTCTTGTTCTTTCATTCGGCATCCTTCACGATAATAGAGAATGCAAATCGTTGTAAATGAGCCTTTGACTTGTCCATTTTACTTCGTACTTTGACCCGCGTCTTCTTTACAATAGTCTTACGAATACGAATCTTTTTACGAGTTTACAGCAATTCGTTGGTGCTCCTTTTCTTACCTCCTCCCCACTGCGCAGCGGGCACCCACTTCTCTCCCTTGTCTGGACTAACTACTAACGGCGGCTGGACTCTTGCGCGCAGACCGACAGCTTTCCCCGTCCCTCCCCAGTGATACAGTTACATACTCGGTCTCCCTTTTTCTCCGTCAACTGCATATTGTGCCTTTGATTGCATTATTTCTTCTTTCGTTGTGTTGTTCTCCTATAAGCCGGTGCCATGTCTGGTCGCTTTGTTCGTTCATCCAAGTACAGTGAGCTTGACCGATCCCTTCCCCTCAGGCTGCCCGCAATCTGACAGGTATTAGGACACGTCTTCGGACGACCAACGAGAAAGGTATTTACACTGAGAAACCCCTGATTAATTACACGTTCTGGCAACGACTCATTCAATGCGCAGGATCAATGCTATGATAACCTTCGCATCTCGAAAAATGCTTGGGATACCAACCTTGTCAAGGTCCGCCTCCGCCGGCATCCCGATTACCTTCCCCCCCTGAAGACAGTCTAACCCCCAAGCTAGGTCAACCCTCGTTACCTCTCCGTGAATTGGGAAGCTGGTGGTGGTGGTGCATTTGCTGTCATTCCTCTTGAAGAACGAGGCAAGCTACCCGAGAGAATACCTTTGTTCAGGGGTCATACCGCAGTCGTTCTGGACACCGACTGGTGAGCACCTGTCGCCTACTGTTAATTTCGCCAGGAGAACCAACACATCCCAGGAACCCCTTCAATGATGATTTGATTGCCTCTGGTTCCGACGACGGCAAGGTGAGTTGATCATAGTTCTATGCCTCCGGTGGACTAACTCATATGGGCTCTGTTCTAGGTCTTGCTTTGGCGAGTTCCCGAAGGCTTCACTCTCCGGCCGGACGTCGAACCTGACGAAGTACAAGACATTGCGCCCGTTGGCAAGCTGAGCGGTCACCCAAAGTTGGTCTCTCCGGCCCCCTCGCATTTTTGTCTCTTGCCGGTCCTAATTTCTGTCGCAGGAAGATTGGGCACGTGCTCTTCAACCCCGCCGCAGAAAACATCCTCGCGACCGCCTCTGGCGACTTCACTGTTAAGATTTGGGATATCGAAGCCGGTGCCTCCAAATTGACGTTGAACTTGGGAGATATTGTCCAGTCTCAAGCGTGGAGCGCTAATGGTTCCCTGCTGGTCACCACCTCTCGAGACAAGAAGCTGCGGATCTGGGATGTTCGCCAGGAGCGACCCGCTCACGAAACCCAGGGACACTCGGGTGCAAAGAACA